TATAATTTCCATTACGCGCAAATATATAAAAATTTATAATGAAATGACATTACTTTATGACGGCAGAGTCTTGTTCCATTGCTGGGTCAGTTTGTCAAGGTTTCGACAAAGGTTTTCTCAACCATCAGAGGTTTCGTCAAGGGTTTAGTCAATCGTCAGGGGTTTCATCAATCATCAACAGTTTCGTCAATCGTCAAGGGTTTGTCAGGTATGTAATTTGACGATACCTTTCGTCAATTCAAAAATAATTTCGTCAAGCATCTTTAACAGTGATTACCCTTGTATGATCTGTACACTGATTTCCAGTAATCGTACTATGTACTACGTATATTATGTAACATATGTGTAACCAATAAATACTTCGGATAAATTAACTATATCAATGGCGTACCACAATCGATACTGTATAAGAAAATGCAAATTGCAAATCTAAACCTTTTTTATCCAACAATTTTTTTTAAAAAAATAATAGATTCAAAATTAAAAATCGAAATCGATACGTTTGATGCAAGTTCAAGAAATAATGATATTTCAAATCGACCTGAAGTAATTGTGCTATCTGATACAGACGATGAGCCAGTGCTAGTAATTTTTTAATTTTAATAATTATAATGATAAATTAATATTGTATAATGATAATAACCTTGTATTAAAGGAATCAGCATCAAGTTCATTTATTCGAAATTATGAAGTATTATTTGCACTATTGCCATGGTTTGGTATTTGATCACAAGTTATTTAAAAAAAAATTAACTAACGATTTCACGAATAGGATTTACAAATTTCTAGCAGCTCTGAAAGTGAATATAATAGTGACAATAATTTAAATGATTATGTGTCTACGGATAATCTAAAAGATAATGATATATTTGAAAATGATTTGAAAAATGACAATAACTATGAGGTATACTGTAATAATGATCTATATAATTTAATATTAATGTGTATAATTTATACGTATGTAGTAACTAATTATGGATCATAATTATGTAGCATCAACCAATATTTGCCCAATTTGGTCACAATTTAACTGTCGATCAAGTCGAATATTACCTTGAGTTTCAAGAATATCCTAAAACTTCCGAAACTGGTGTCGCTAGTATATACAATATTTCCGGTTGGAAACCAGATGATGCTAAAAATGCTTTTGGAATTTCTAATATCCAATATGCTTATAGCGATCCTGGAACTATTTGATCAATTCAAAAATATCCATTTTTAGGTGTACCTGTTAAAAAAATTTACTGCTCATGCCTTGGTGTAAAAGTATGCGAATTTGGCTCAGCAACTCTCGATATTGAACATACATCGGTTAATTTTGAAGATCAACTTTATAAAAACATCTTCGATGCAAATGAATTTTCGGTTGATACATTTACTTTTAAGTAAGTAATAATATTTAATTTATAAATAATAATATGTAAATTTATTTACTATATTAAAATTTTTATTATAATTTTTAGCACATACGGTCAAGCTTATAATACACCATGTTCTTATATTGATCCAATTACTAATATTCGCTGCAATGGAGTTTCTATTCTTAAAAAATATAAACAAGTATGCGTATATAAAATATTAAATATATATTTTTTTTAATTTAATAATTTCATTATTTTAGATTGATAATACATTGACGATTCGAAAGTTTATTGGATGCCAAAAATATCAATTCGGTCAAAAGAGGCACTGTTATATTTCAATTAGTCAGCGTGCGAATATGGAATACCTTGAACAATTATTTCAAAATTATACATACTATTCAAATGAAATTAACAGAAAAGTACATACATATATATTATTAAAACAAATGTTTATTTATTATAAATATCTAAATTTAATTATAGAATTATACAAATAAATCTGTTAATGAATGTTTCACAGTTTTTCCAAATTCTTCTACAATGAGCCATTGTCATGAGTATAATTATTTCAAATTAAGGTGCCTGGACTCATGCAAATTAAATTGCATTTTTAAAAATCTTTGATTATGCGAATTAAAAACAAATAGCAATAATAGTAACCAATTGAGCAGCCAAAATTCAGCAGATTGACCAAATTCAAAAGTCGGAATAGGCCCTAAGCTAGGCTGGCATTAGACAATAATATTAGAGAACTATACTATGGCAAATTATTATCTGGGCAGCTTTACTTTGTATATGGGTTACCAATTTAACAGTAAAATTCAAGTGATTTTGGAAGAAATTTGTCAATTCCACGCCTATCCCAACTCTAAATTTTGGTCGACCTGCTAAGTTTTAGTTGCACAGCTAATCTATTCTAAGCGATGATTATGATGCCAAACTACAAACTTTTTTTAATTGTTGGATGTCAAATCTTGATCAAACATTTTTATTATATTGATATTAGTCGATTTGCATTAAAAATTAATTTATATTTTATCATGTAATAGCACATCTTCATAAAACAGATACACAAGTTATGAGAGGAAAATTGGTTAATAAAGGATCTTGTCCTGTGAAATTTTATCATATATCGCCTAAAGATTTAACTAAA